AGGGCCAGCCAAACAGAACAAGAAAGTTTATTATTATTCAAATTGGTCTCTGAAATTTTGGAGACAGGGTTTTTTTGTTTTTGTTTTTGTTTTTGTTTTTGGATAATTTGGCAAGCAGGGGGCTAGGGAATAGGAAGTGCCGACTGGTTGGATCAGGAGTGAAATCATAGGGGGTTAAAGCAGTCTTCTTGCACTGTCAGTCCCTGGGTGGGATTACAAGACCAGTTGAGCCATTTTATGGGTCTGGGTTGTGCCAGCTGGTTCATCAGAATTCAGGGTCTGAAAAATACCTCAGACACCAATCTTAGGTTTTATGATAGTGATATTATCTGTAGGAGCAATTGAGAAGGTTATGAATCTTGTGACCTCTGGCTACATGACTCCTGAGCCATAATTTCTAGTCTTGTGGCTAATTTGTTAGTTTTACAAAGGTGATTCAAAGGAGGGGGTAGTTTTGGGAAGGGCTGTTATCATCCTTCCTTTAAAGTATAAACTACATTCCTCTCAAAGTTAGCTTGGCTACTCCCAGGAGTGAAGCACAGTTTGGAGGTTAGAAACAAGATGGAGTCAGCTATGTCAGATTTCTCTTACTGTCATAATTTTGCAAAGCAATTTCAGTGATTGGTTTACTGATTTTACTTAAGTGTAAGTGAGAGATGGGCATTGAATCAATTAGATGTGTGTTTTTAATTTCTAAGTTAAATACTTAGTTCTTTAAGTTTTAAAATGATGGCTTGGCATTTGAGGGTTATTGAGGGATCCCTGAAGTGACACTATTTCTACATACATAGATCTGTCTAGCTCTAATTAGCTAGATGTATCTATCTAGTTCACCTGGCCAAAAGGCCTCTTTTCAAACCTGCTTTTTATTCCATGATGTCATGGTTAATAGTAGCAGTGCAGTCCCACTTACTTAAGCCAGAAACTGTCACCTCTTTTTCTTTCTCATGGATCCATATCCAGTGAGTTTCCTATTCTTGCACATTTTATCTTACAAACATTGGTCCTTTCAGACCATCTCTCAGTGGTATGCAGTAGTATTTACTTGATTCTGCTTTGAATTATGACTTTTTGAATATTTTTTTCTTTGGATTTATAACTTCTTAGAGGCAGATTCTACTGTAATCATAGTGTTACTAGCATTGAGGGTTAATCTTTTTAATCTCTTTTGAGGACTAAAGGGGAGGAGTGGGGAAGAGTCAGATGAGACAGTCCATGACTGCTGCTGACCAACCTTTCCTGAAGGCTGCAGAGGCCAAAAGAACTGGTGATGGCCTTCTCTCCTTGGCTTTTTGCAGAACTTGGAATTCTCCCAGCTCTACCGCAAAGCTGTTTACCAGGTTCCCTTTCTTCCATTCCCTCCCTTTCCTGTATGAACCAGTTAAATTATTTCCATCACCACCTAATGCAATTTAAGTTACTCTTCAGCCACAAAGATGGAATATTTTTGTTTCCCTGGGTAATTGGCATATTTTAGCATCTTGGCTCTTTAACTCTTTTATTCCCCCAATGTCCAAGAATGGATAGACCAATCTATTATCTATCATCTATCTGCCCTTTTATACTACTAATATTTCTGATAGTTTTGTTGTTAAAATATCTCTTCAACTGAAAGTTTCTGTTGTGTATCTTATAGGAAAAGCCAAATTTATTTTAATAAATTGATTTTGAGCAGTGGTAGTTGCTTTCTTAATAACTTTTCCCCTTCTACTCACAGTACTTTTCCATAAGAAATGTATTCAAAAGCACCTAGCCTAGCACCTAACACTTGATTGTTAGTTGAGGGTATTAGCTTCCTTTTCCTCTTGATTTTTTAAATATTGGTTTTTATTATAATTGTTAAAGTGATACATATTTATCATAGGAAAAGTGGGAAATGCAGGTAAAGTGTAATAAAAGTTAAAATCACACAGTGCTCTACTGTTGACATTGTGACTTTTCCCCAACAAAATTAGCATTATATTTTATTTTTATTTTCCTGTTTTCATGTAACATTACTAAAAGTATGTTCTCACATTACTAAATATCAATTAAAAACATAATTTTATGACTATAACATTTTACTCTATGAGTATGCCATAATATATTTATTAAGCCATTCCCCTATTTACAAATAGCATTCGTAACTTGTCAAACTAATCTCTTATTTCTTTATTAGCTTTTTAGAGATAGAGATTTCTCAGTACATAGGAATATTTTCAGGCTTTTGAGACATCAGTCCCCACATATAGAATCATTCTCCCATCTTAGCTGCAGTCCTATCCTGTATGTGGAGACCCTCTTCATCTCTGTCAAGATATTTATTCTAGATCTTCTTTGTCTTTTTTGGGCTCCAGTATCTCACACCAAGGTATCCTACAAGTGGATATCCTCCTTATCCTGCTTGAGCTTCTGTGCTCTGTGCTGGGTCACCCCCACATGTCGTCATCCATTTCGCCCTGCTTAGGCTCTGACTGTCCTTACCCCACAAAGTCCTCCTTCACATCCTGCTTGGACTGTTAGCCCATGCCTGCCCACACCCATGCGTCAGGCTCTCTCCATTGTAGCTTTGGCACCCTGCTTTAGGCCCCCATGATTCTGCCTCATCTAACGGCTTTAGTGCTAAATTGTTAAGGAGAAAAAAAGAGAAAGGAAGCTATAAAGATTAAATGAGGAAACTTGCAAGTGCATAGCATCATGCCTGGTGTACTGTAGGTATTTGGTGGTAGAGTATGTGTGGGTATTTAAAAATTCCACTCCTGATCCTGGACTGTTGAACCTTGGTGGTAAAAGGAAAAATATAAACATAACCTACTTGACTGCTTCTAATACCAACTCGGCTGTATATGGTCTATCTGGTAGATAGACATAATCACTCTCTAATCACTCTCTCTAGTGGATGATATATTCTGTCTCCCCAGGTGGTTGTTTTTTACCTTTTTTATTGTCCTCATTCCCAAACTCCACAGCTTCCAAATCTCATCTGATGACTGCCTGCTATGTAAATGAGATCAAGATTACTGACATTAATGTAATTAATGTGATTACTGCCATAACCACTTCAAAATATTTTAGTATTTTTAGCTCTCCTGACTTTACCCTCTTTCTTGAAACTCTTCCCTTGTTTAGCTTTTATTAGTATATTGTCCCAGTCCTCTTCCTACCTGATTAATTTTTCTAAGTCTTATTACCTGCTTTTGATTCTTCTCCCCTCCATATATATGTTTATCCTTCTTAATATTTTATTATTGGTCTTCTTAAGTTATTCAATTTCCTTAGGTGATCAAATTGACCACATAACATCCAAACACCCAGTTGATGCTGTCGAGGTCCAAATTTTGTATCTTACCAACTCTGCTGATTGCTAGCCATAACTCCTGGCTGTCTTATGGTTCCAATGGCTGTTTTTCTTTCTTCTTTCTTTTTTTGTAGAGACAGGCTTTTGCCATGTTGCCCAGGTTGGTCTTGAACTCCTAGACTCAAGCAGTCTGCCCATCTCAGCCTCCCAAAGTCCTGGGATTATAGCTGTGAGCCACTGCCCCCAGCCGAATGGGCTTTTTTCAAACCTGCTTTTATTCCAGGATGTCATGGTTAATAATAGTAGTGCAGTCCCAGCCACTTAAGCCAGAAACTGTCATCTTTATTTCTTATGCATCCATATCAAGAGAGTTTTCTATTCTTGTACCTTTTATCTTAACAAACATTGATCCTTTCAGACCATCTTTCAGCAGTATGCAATAGTACTTAGTTGATTCTACTTTGAATTATGACTCTTTGAATATTTTTTTCTTTGGATTTATAACTTCTGAGAGACAGATTCTACCCTAATCATTTCTATTCATTGAAATAAAGAATACCTTCAAGACTTTTTTCTAAACTGGAGTCCGTTTTACTTTGTGATTAGCTGGCTTTCGTAGGCAATAGGAGCTTGATTGGGATTCATGATTTGATTATAAGTATATGGTCTGTAATATACTTTTTTTGGGATTAATGCAGGGAATGGTGTCATTTTAGATGATGTTGGGAAGATTTTAAGTAGCTTTCACTGTAATTATTCATCATGAATGGAATCTTTGATAATTAGATAGATTTCGGTATCTGCAGATGAGAATATGTTTTTAAATTTTGGTGTTTTGATCCAAATGGCTAGCTAGATGTATACATTGACTGAATTCTAGAAATCTGTTTTCTTCCTTGAAAAGCTCTATTGTCCCCCAACCAAAAGATTTCAAATCTTAAAAAAAAGAATTTTAATTATTTTTAAATTTTCCTTCTACTCAAGTAGCCTTCCTTTTTTTTTTAGTAACACTTATTTTTATTATATTCCGATAATCATTGATAGCAAAATAAATAAGTGATGGTTAAAGCAAAGAGAGTAGTTGCAAAGCAAACTCTGTGCTTATAGTCAATAATATTTATTCCATGATTTAGACTTATTTTCCCAATTAGGATATAAGTTTGTATACTTACCCATTTAAGGTCCTCCCGAAATAACACTAGAATTATATGGGAATATTTTTAATGATTGGGTTAAAGGTCTTCTATGGTTTGGCCTCTCATGTATTTTTAGAGTTTTTAAAAAAGATTGATTCAGAAAAGTTAGAGATTTGGTAGAATAATTTGGTGGTTGTTATGCATTTGAAAAAGCTGCTAGCTTTGGACATTTTCTCAGACCACACTTTTTTGTGTGACATCATCATTCATAGTTTATACTGTGTAATTAAATAATTTGGCTTCCTCATTTGATCCTCATCATTAAAATCACCTGAGTGGCTTATAAAAACTGACTTCTTTAGGGGTATGTGTGCACGTTTGCACATTGAACATGTTTGAACATGTTCAAACATTGAACAATAGGTAGATTAAAACAGGATATTGTTAAAAAAAATGATGGAATAGGGTAGCACATTAAGTAGTAGTGAGAATAGCAGGTTAGAAATAAGGCCTATTAGGAGCAGTTACAGGATTCAGAGATCTTTCTAGGTGGTTTAAGAGACAAATTTGTTTGAGAAGTAGTAGTTATGAGCAAAAACAGTGAAAACCTATTTGATATTCAGAGGGTTGATTACTTTTGAATTAAAAGTATTAAAGAATGTAAAAATAATTAGTTTCTACTATTTCTGAATAAGATTTATCTGAAGGTTATTCATCATTCTAATGATTTTAACTGGCCTAGATGTCTCTTCTATATTTTTTGCAATATGAAGAGAAATACTGAGAATAATTGTCGAATGTTCATCATGACAACATAATTTTGGGGATTAGAGTTACAATTTTCTTTCATTGGTGATTAGCGTTTCATTCTCACATTCACTATTTTGTTCAGTAACTTAACTTTGTTATATCATTTAGCCCCTCAGTTTTCTTCTCTTTTTTTTTTTTTATCAAATTTATAGGTAGATTATTATGGCAATGCAAACCATATTTGTTAGGTATCTTGGCAAATGTGATCTTGTCAACAAAATGATTTTGTTGACAGCTCCACTTCTATAAACTGTAAGCAGTTATCTAAAGCATTACATTGACAATTAGGAAAAAGACTTTTATCTACACACCCTGTTTTGGCTTTCTTCTTGATGCTTTCTGCCTACACTTTTCCAACTACCTTATTGCTTCTATCTGATTTTATAGTAGCATTGAATCCTTTGTATTTCCATACTGAAGCATTAAAAAAACCTCTGTAGCCATCCAAATCATTAGTGAGCATAAATATTGTCATAATTAAATATAGTTCAGCTGTAGCAATTTAAAAGTGAGATAACTAAGGCCTAGAGAGATTAATATTTGCCACGAAAGGAAAGAACTAATATTTTTACAGTGCAACTATATACCAGACTATCTTTTTACATTTCAGTTCTATGAAATGTGTTGTATTATCCCTATTATACAGAGGTTCAGAGGTCAAGTAACTTGCCCATGTCCATGAGGCTGTAGTTATGGTGGAGGTAGGATATAAATCCAGGTCTCTTAAAACAGTCCGGGGTCTTTTCCACTTGTATGAGCAAATTTAAATGCTGGGGAAAACAAAGTGTTAAAAACCAACATTCCAAATATGACAAAGTGTATTTTCTTTTCCTTTTTTCTTTGCGAACTTGTCATCTTAAAATTTAAAAAGAAAATTTTCAATAGCTTTTTGGGCACAAGTGGTTTTTGGTTACATGGATGAATTTGTCTAGTGTGAAGTCTGAGATTTTAGTGCACCTGTTACCTGAGTACTGTACATTGTACTCAATATGTAGTTTTTTATCCCTTATCCCCCACTTCCTACCCTTCCCCTTCTGAGTTTCCATAGTCCATTATATCACTCTCTTTGCCTTTGTGTAATTTGTGAGCTTAGCTCCCGCTTATAAGTGAGAACTTACGGTATTTGATTTTCCATTCCTGAGTTGACAAAGTGTATTTTCTGACTGATAACATATATTTTTGTAAAAGGACTAAAAAAATTTACCTTTGGTTGTACAGCTATTAAATCACTATTAAAATATGGAATGTTGCCTGGGTGCAGGTGGCTCATGCTTCTAATTCCAGCACTCTGGGAGGCTGAGGCAGGCAGATCACTTGAGGCCAGGAGTTCGAGACCAGCCTGACCAACATGGTGGAAACCCGTCTCTACCAAAAATATTAAAAAATTAGCCGAGTGTGATGGTGGGCACCTGTAATCCCAGCTACTCAGGAGGCTGAGGCAGGAGAATCGCTTGAACTCGGGAGGCGGAGGTTGCAGTGAGCTGAGATCGTGCCACGGCACTCCAGCCTGGGCCACAGAATGAGTCTTTGTCTCTAAATTAATAAATAAACAAATAAAATATGGGATCCATGGGATGTTAGCATTAGGTATAAAAACAACATAACCTTTGCCTATTAGCATTTTATGGTTGATGATGCATGTACCAAAAATGTCACAGAAAAAGTAATATTTTTAAAATATCAGTTTAGAAATGGAAAGAATCACCAAGGGCTTGTGCATCTCCATTTATTTATTTATTTAGAGGTTATCTCAAGATTTTGTTGTTGTTGTTACCTACGCTGGAGTGCAGTGGTACGATCATAGCTCACTGTAGCCTCAAACTCCTAGGCCCAATAAATCCTCGCACCTCAGCCTCCCAAGTAGTTAGGACTACAGATGCATGCCATTGTACCTTGTAAATTTTTAATTTTTAAAATAGAGGTGGAGTCTCACTGTGTTGTCCAGGCTGGTCTTGAACTCCTGGTTTCAAGTGATCCTCCTGCCTTTGCTTCGCAAGGTGCTGCTATTACAGGCATAAGCTAGCAAGCCCAGCCCTATCTCAAGAGATTCTTTACTCTCTTGCCTTCAGGGTATTATTGTTATACTTCTTTAAATTTTATTTTTGACATGGAGTCTTGCTCTGTCACCCAGGCTGGAGTGCAGTGGTGTGATCTTGGCTCACTGCAACCTCTGCCTCCCAGGTTCAAGTGATTCTCCTGCCTCAGCCTCCCAAGTAGCTGAGACTACAGGTGCCCACCACCACACCCAGCTAATTTTTGTGTTTTTAGTAGAGACAGGGTTTTACTGTGTTGGCCAGGCTAGTCTCAAACTCCTGACCTCAGGTGATCCACCTGCCTTGGCCTCCCAAAGTGCTAGGATTACAGGTATGAGCCACTGTGCCTAGTCTTATTGTTAATACTTTTAACAGATACTTTTGCTAACAAAGTTAGACAACATTTATCCTGGCACATGATTGGCCTCTGCTGTTTGTTGCATGGTGTTCATCTAGGAAGAAATCTGGGCTCTGTGTTAGCTTTTTGTATGGCGTTTGGTGTTTATGAAAATTAATAGCTTGCTTTTCAGCGTTTCTTAAATGAGATTCAGAAAAAAGAAACTAAACATGGTGGTAGGAAAATTAGGGCTTTGACATACAGTGTTATGATGTATCTGCTTATTAGTTAAGAAAACTAGGTGCTTTAAATATGTTTGCAAATCTGGGCCTCCTTTGCCTTGTTTTTTATTTGTGAACTCTTAATCTTTTATCTAAGCACTTAATGTAATTAAACTATTGATAACTACCTTTTTGAAGCAAAGATACCTTGTCTTTAGCCTCTTGATACCTGAGCCACTGGTGTTCTGAATGTGATAACCTAGAGGTAATTAGATAGCCTAAGAGTAGCTTTTCAAATTGTTTTTCAAAGATACTTGTTTCTAAAATTCCTAAGTGATACATGTTTCTTGTTTCACCATCTAATTATCTAGGTTTTAACATTTGTACTTTTGATACCATCATATTCATTACAAAATTTTTTTCATGGGAGCCAGAGTTGATGTTGGCAGATACCTAGACAAAGGCAATCTTTTTCTCTACCTACCAATCCTCCCGGTTCTTTACCCTTTTCTTTTCTTCCCAGTTTTCCCTTCCTCCATTTCTCCCTTTTCTCTCTTCTTCCCCTTTCCCATTTTGTTTGTATCAGTGTATAGAAATGTATAAAATTAAAATAATGGTAGGAAGAGGTAGATGATTTCTCTGTAAAGTTACTATTCAGTGATAGTCACTTTACTAGTTACTGTGGAACATAATAGTTTCTAAGACAACTAGTTCAAATTACTTTGGAGTCCAATACACCTGGGTTAGTATCCTGGCTTATAAAATTAGTGAGATGGGCGGGGGAGGAAGTAATACAGTGGCTGGGCGCAGTGGTTCACGCCTGTAATCCCAGCACTTTGGGAGGCCGAGGTGAGTGGATTGCTTGAGCCCAAGAGTTAAAGGCCACATAGGGAGCAACATAAGGAGTCCTCATCTCTACAAAACATAAATTAGTTGAGCAGGGTGGGGTGCACCTGTGGTCCCAGGTACTCAGGAGCCTGGGAGGTCAAGGTTGCAGTGAGCCAAGATCGAGCTACTACACTCCGTTCTGGGCGACAGAATGAGATTCTGTCTTAAAAAAAAGAAAAAAATGTGATATAGTAACAGTGAATATAAGGCAGAAAGGAAAAGTGCTGTTGTCTTTGGTACTTTGCAGAGGTAATCATTATTAATGATTTTCATGTATCCTTTTAAATACCTGCTGTATATATTTACATATATTTAATGTAGAATTAGCTATGTTAATTTCAATTTTACAGCATGCAAACATGCGTTTTCCTGTTAGAGCAGTCTTCATTAGGTCAGAAAGCAACTAAAGAATATTCATTTAGTTGAATTTTCATTTGTTTAACATTACTAAGTTCTAGTGTATCAGTTTTTTTAAAAAAAATCTTAGTGCTTTCAGGATGCTATTTCATCTTTTTTTCAAAATCAGTTTTAACCTCTGTAATGGCTCAAATTTTGTTTATAAAGATAAGAAAAAATGAAAAATAAATTGGATTAGAAAACATCTCTGTGGAGATGACAGAAAATAATATTGTATCTTAAGGCTTCAGTCTTCTCAGGGAAGTAGTAATTGGCTACACATTCTTCCAGGAATGCGATGGTCACAGTAATTAGGAATTTAAAGCTTGTAGGAAGAAAATCTTGAATTGACCTTGCTGTCATTAAGAGGAACGAGTTATTTATTGTAAGAGATTGGTGTAGAACTGCCGGACATGTTGCTAAAGATACAGGATGAGTTTGTAGATGACAAAGTGCTTGGTCATTTGGGACCAGAAATAGAAAAACTGACTATACGTCAGCTCTGGTTGGGTAAGAGTACACCAGAGGCTTAAGGTATTCAGGGCATCTCTGGGAGTAATAACAAAAGCATTGATAAAATTGCTTACCATAGCCAAGCACCAGAGAAAGAACTTCACATTCTTACAATGTACAAAACTATTGGCTACAAAATATGAATCAGGATTTCAGAGTCTCATCTTATATAATGGAACATTTTTTTTGCCCTCCTTGAAACAGATCATTACCTATGAAGATTATAGTTGGTTATCTATACAATTACTTGTACATTAAGTACCTTAGTATATCCCTTTCTGTGTATCTTCAACATTATTTGAGTATATAGCCTTTTAGAATGTTAGGTACATTTAAAAAAATTTCTTTTCTGTGAACCTATGGATTATATTGAATAGGCCCTTTTCTAAACACACAAACACTGGAGACGTTTGGGGAGGGGGAGGAGAAAAAGAGAACAGTGAGGAGGTACCAAAAATTTGGAAGTAGTCAAAATATTACATAGTATTTACTTCTCAATTTAAGATATACCATATTATTAAAATTACTGTACCATTAGACAAATGTTACCACTGAGCTTCTTTTAATATTTCATATGTCATTAAAAAAAAAATCTAGTTATTTTCTTCCTGAGTTTTCTTTCACAGAGAATTGTAATTGAATTTGGCCTTGTGATTTAATTTTATGTAGAATAAATTTGTTAAAAATTACCTATCAAATTTATGTGACTCAGTCAAGTCTGCCAAGTCACTCTGGACAACAGACTGAAACCCTGTCTTAAAAAAAAAAAAGGTGGGGGGATAGAGCAACAATAAACATAAAACAGAAGGGGAAAGGATATTATTTGTGTTTAGAGGTAAAATGGAAATGTTTGTTAATAGAAATGTCTGTTGGGGTAAAACAGAAATGTTGGAAATGGTTTTGGTATATTTGTATGTTAGAGGTAAAGTAGAAATGTTGGAAAACCTGTCCACTTATTTGTTTTTTAACTTTGGTAGCACAGCTCAGCAAATTATTCTTGATCCATGACCCTAAGTCTTGAGAAGATGGTTCTTTTTCCTAGTCCTAAGTGTCACTTCTTTTCTTGCCCTATAATGATTGACAATAGAATTGTTTCTTTCAGGGAAGAGCTTAACTCTAGCCACAGGTGTTCTGATCTACTGTCTTGCCAGCTGGGAATAAAGTGAGACTAAAGGCCAGAAGAGATCTTTAGAATTCCTTCACTCTCACTTCTAGGACCTAGCTACCACTGGTGTACTACAGATATCCCAAGAAACAATTTCAGAGATTTTGAGACCTCTGGTGTACCACACATATCCCAAGAAACAATTTCAGAGATATTGAGATCTCTGGTGTACTACACATATCCTAAGAAACAATTTCAGAGATAATTCAGTCTGAATTCATACATAAGGGTACTTTGTTAAAGGCATACATATTATTAAGCAAAACCCTAAACATCTCCTTCTGAGGCACCTGCATTTAGGTTAACCAGCATCCTCACAGTTTTCTCCAAAAAAGTAGTCTGTTTGCTTATGCATCTAAAATGTTCATTCTGGTAGTATTTTTAAAACAAAAGAAGTCTTCTGCAAAGGAGAATTGATTCCTGCACTTACAGACATTTAATTCCTATGATTGAAAATGAAATTTATCTAGTTTAAAAAAGTTAAGACACCCTCCCCACCACGAGACATTGTATTATTGCAGTAAAAGTTGTCTTTTCTCTCACCTATCAAATCTTTGAATAAATATGTCTTTTCAATAAAACAAACCATTTTTGTCTTTTCAGTAAAACAAACCATTTACCCTGTGGCCTTTCTTATAGGAATGTCTATCCCGCCCACCTTTAGGATTGCATTCTGCTATTTACAAGTGAAATATGTCAGCCTTCAAGAGACATTTCCACTTTTACCTACTGCTTCACTGCAGAGTTTCTTAGGCTTTCTGTACCTTTCTAAGCCTTGGGGCAATAGATTACCATGCCAGGGTTGCATTGAACCTATTATGCCAAGGATTGACATGCCTTTCCAATTTGGTCTATTGCACAGGATTGTTTTATTTTTCCCGATTTTAGGATTGTAGGACATATACCTACAATATTCTACCCATTCACATTCTTGAGTCGCCTAGAAATAAAAAAGTTCTTTTGAAGATAAGTTAGGCATCCTTTTGTATGTGAAAACAAAATTCTGCCAAAATAGTGATTAAAACGTATTGGTACCTATTCTTTATTTTTAATTATTGTTTTGCTGAAAAGTACGCAGTGCATTGAAATAGTTAACACATTTAATTATTATTATTTTTTAGACAGAGTCTTACCCTGTCACCCAGTCACAGTACAGTGGCATGATCATGGTCCATCACAGCCTTGACCTCCTGGACTCCATTGATCCTCTCACCTCAGCCACCTGAGTAGCTGGGACTACAAGGGCACACCACCATGCCCAGCTAATTTACTGTATTTTTTGAAGAGCTGGGTTTTACCATGTTGCTCAGGCTAGTCTCAAACTCCTGGACTCAAGCAATTCGCCTCCCTCAGCCTCCCAAAGTGCTAGGATGGCAGGCATGAGCACCATACCCAGCCTAAAATATAAATTACTGCACCTGGCCTAAAAAATAAGTTTTTATTTGCATATAAGCCCAGTTATTCTGAATTATTCAATTAGAGCAGAAATATTCATGTTCCCATACTTAGACCTTTTCTGATTTTAGGGAAGATGATTGATTGATTGAATTTGGAATTTAAGAGGATGAAGGGCAACTAGGCACCACAGGTCAACTCTACCATTAGGACTAACCAGTTGGTTCTTATTTATCTAGAACTTCTTAATCCTGCTTTATAGAGACTGAAGGCAGTTGTATTTACATATGAGTATGTTGTTTGGTCTGGGTAGCTTGATCTAGGTGTTATAAGGTTTTAATTTTGGGGGTATAACATGGTTTGTTGTTGTTGTTGTTTGTTTTTTGTTTGAGACAGGATACTCTGCTGCCCTGGTTAGAGTGCAGTTGGCATGATCATGGCTTACTGAAGCCTCAACGTCCCAGGCTCAAGCAATCCTCTCACCTCAGTCCCCTGAGTAGATAGGACTACAAGTATGTGGCACCACACCCACCTAATTTTTTGATTTTTTGTAGGGATGGGTCTCACGATGTTGCCAAGATTGGTCTCAAACTCCTGCCTCAAACGATCCTCCCACCTCAGCCTCCCAAAGTTCTGGGATTGCAGGCAAGAGCCCCTCTGCACTCAGCCATAATATGACTTTTTTTTTTTTTTTTTTTTTTGAGACGGAGTTTCGCTCTTGTTACCCAGGCTGGAGTGCAATGGCACGATCTCGGCTCACCGCAACCTCCGCCTCCTGGGTTCAGGCAATTCTCCTGCCTCAGCCTCCTGAGTAGCTGGGATTACAGGCACGCGCCACCATGCCCAGCTAATTTTTTGTATTTTTGTAGAGACGGGGTTTCACCACGTTGACCAGGATGGTATCGATCTCTTAACCTCGTGATCCACTCGCCTCGGCCTCCCAAAGTGCTGGGATTACAGGCGTGAGCCACCGCGCCCGGCCATAATATGACTTTTATAATAAAAAAGAGTCATAAGAAAGTGGTGAAAAAGAGAATAGGATTTACAGGACCAGAAGAATTAATATGAGCAAGTTAATGTATAAGAAAGACTAGCCCAGCGTGGAGGCTCACAGCTGTAATCCCAGTACTTTGAGAAGCCTAGGTGTACAGATCACAAGGTCAGGAAATTGAGACTATCCTGGCTAACACAGTGAAACCCCATCTCTACTAAAAATACAAAAAATTAGCCGGACATGGTGACATGCGCCTATAGTTCCAGCTACTCGGGAGGCTGAGGCAGAAGAATCACTTGAACCCAGGAGGCAGAGGTTGCAGTGATTCAAGATCATGCCACTGCACTCCAGCCTAGGTAACAGAGCAAGATTATACCTCAAAAAAAAAAAAAAAAAAAAAAACACAAGAGAGAGAGAGAGAGAATAACAGACATTAAAGGTTCTTATGGAGTCACTTAAGTTCTTTTATTCTACCTTCTTTGTGTCTACTTTTAAACCATTCTGGTGTTCTCAGTTTCTTAGTTCTTGAAATTGAGATTTATAAAATGATGTGTAGATTAAAGGACTTTTGAGTAAATTATGAGTCAGAAAATACTCTTTTCTCCTGTATTTTCTTATAATATCTTTGCGTATCTCTGGTCATTTTCTTTCTCTAGTCTCTTAAGTGTAGTTATCTGAAATACTTTTAATTTCTTAGAATTATAATTTTAAGTTAATGCAGATAATGAAAATTCCTAGTCACAATTACATGGTGTTGACCCATTTCATTGTCCTTTTGGATGTGGGGAATTAAGTGGAAACTGGAGACATTAGGAGCTAATAGCAAGTAACTTGGGTGGGAACAAAAAAGAAAGATTTGTTCATCCTGCCCTGTTGAAGGTATAGTTCAGAGAACTTTCCAGCATCTAAGAATAATAGAAAGAAGCTATAAGAAATTGTTTGATAATCATTTTCCTTTGTCTGCAGTCATTTCACAACTTTGTTTTCCAGTTTAAACTTTAAGTGGTAATTGTGGTCTGCATGTTTATAAATTTTTAATTGTGTAGAATATTAGTACTTTTCTTTAAAAATAACACCATAAAGAATTTATCACTTCGGAGTTTTTCCCCAAATAAACCAGAGCTGTAGCAGTTATATTTATTTACAATTAAGAATTCCCGAGGGCAGTGGTTTTTAACATCAGAATCATCAAGAGGGATTTCAAAATTTTTATTTTAGGTTCAGATTTGTTATATACTTAAACTCATGACTTGGGGGTTTGGTGTATAGGTTATTTTGTCACCTGGGTACTAAGCATAGTACCTGATAGTTTTTTTTTTTTTTTCTGAACTCTCTTTCCTTTGAACCTCCTCCCTCACTTGTCCCCATTTTCTGTTGTTCCCCTCTCTGTTTAAAACATAAGTTTTGGAGCCCCACTCTTGTATTTCTGATTCAGTAACTCTGGAGTGTGGCCTGAGAGTCTGCATTTCTAACAAGTTCCAAGGTGACCCTAATAGTGCTGGTTCTGAAATCATACTTTGAGAACCACTGTGATAATATGATACTGATTTGAGAAGTCTAATCTGTGCTGAAGTTGCTTGTATTTCATGCAGAGTTGTACCTATTTGATGGGTACCAGCAATGATCATTTAACGTAGTGTTGTCTTCTTTTCATAGATTGGAGCATATGATCAACAAATATGGGAAAAGTCTGTTGAACAAAGAGAAATCAAGGTAACGAGTTTATTTCATTATGTTTATTTTGAAACATAGTTCTGTGAATTATTAATTACATTTTCTGTAGTGTTTTTTTAATATACTTTTAAGATATAAATTACTATTCTATTGAAGCTTTTAAAGAAAGAAGTAAACTTTATTTACCATAGTCATGTTTACTTCTGATGTTGGTTTGTTTTTTTTTTTAATCATCTTTCTGTTCTTTTAAAATTTGATTTCTAATGACTATGTTTTTGTCAGCTTTTTTCCCCTTTTACTTGTCACCTTATACTTCTAGTTTGCTTTCCTCCCCTTTGATGCTCTCATTGCTCTGTACAGTTTATTAAACTGGTAAGTGTTTCAGGATTTTTCCTGCCTGAGTGACCCTGTGCAAATGCTGCTTTCCTTAATTGAGATCTGCTTTTTGGTGCTACTAACAGATTGACTTTGACTCAAAAAGAGTCACCAAAAAGTTGGTCATTTAAAAAAAAAATTTAGGACAGTAAAGCACTAATTAAAATGTTTTTGTA